ACCGCTCCTGGCCTCGCTGCTGCTCTGACGTGCTGATGATGTGTCAGCGAGGTGGTGAGTTGGAAGCGGAACGCTCTGGGAAGGGTTTGTTTTTGTGGCAGTTCAGTGATGTTGCCACCTAAATATCCAGGTTATGGGAACTGATGTCGCTACCGCAGGATTAAAGCCATAGACACAAAACCATCCTGTAAAAACCAGGTGTGATTTTTCATCCCGTGTGTCCTACCTCGTCTTCCCTCTGGGTTTGAGTCCTCGCTCCTGTTACAGCCGTCTGAATTTTCCTCCTCTCTCTTCTGTTTCCCCCTTGGACACTGCTTACGTGGCCGTGCTGCCGGCTGGCCAAGGAACAAGCCTGCTCGGCCACGATCCCTTTTCCCTCTCAAAACCCAGGGAAGGGTCAATCCCCAGGGTCCCATCCTTACGCCTACCCCCGCTGTCCTTCCTCAGACCACGACCTGTGCGGGGGGAGGCGTCTCTTGAGCTGTGCACCGATTTCCGTCACCGCTCCGTGCCTCGCCTGCGGTTTTGGAGGGCTTCGTGCCCGCCAGGAAGGAAAAGAGGGGACACTTCATTTTCCAAAGCAATCTCTGCTAGGCCGACAAGGAGAGAGGGTCTCTGAAGGCATGGCCAGAAGCCACGGGGCCTGTTTTGTGTTGGAGTGGGGAGGGAATACTGGGAAACGGGGGCTTTAGCGCTGCTCCTGCTTCAGGCTGTACTGCAGCACTGTGCTAGGCTCCGGTGGTCTCCCTCCCTCTGACGCGGTCACTCTGCCGTCCGTTTTCACAGCAATCCTGTGTCAACTGCGGTCGTGAGGCAACGAACGAGTGCACGGGATGCCATAAAGTCAACTACTGCTCCACTTTCTGCCAGCGGAAGGTATCGGCTTGTCTGTGAGTTGCAGTTCAGTTGTCGAGGGGCCCGTGTGAGCCTGGGGGGAGCCACACGGCTCTGCCCGCTACCCGAGGGGCTAAGCACGGTGAGAGGAGTGGGCAGCGGAACTCGCCGTGTCCCACAGAGCACCGGCCTTGCTGGGTCCCCGCACCCCGAACCCACCCTCCCAGCTGGATGGGGCGGGTCTGTGGGCCAGGGTCCTGATCAGACGGGTAGGGCAGGTCCCAAGATGCGCACACGCCCCTCAAAGGCAACGTGAAAATCCGAGTAACGCCAGCAGCGAGGGGGTGGCCACTGGGCTGTGCAACCAGGGAGCTGGGAGCGCTCTTACAGCCCTTCCCCACTGCTCCCCGGGAAGCTGAACGCTCCCAGTCCCTGCGCTCCCGCTCTGTCACCGAGGCCGTAGTTCCCTGTACGTTACTTATGATGCTGCAGTGATACGGAGGGACAGACCGTGAGACTGAACGGGGGAGGTGGAAATGGAGGAAGCTCGGTGGAGGAAGCTTCATGCTTCCCACCGGTTCCTGGCAGAGGCCGGTTCCTGGCAGGTGCCACACCTGTTTGGGCAGGGTGACAGGTCAGTCCTCCTCAGCTGAAGCGGGGCGTACTGCGTAGCCGAAGGGTGGTGACTGTCTCCTTTGCCTGTAACAGGGTGTAGTGGTGGCCGAGCTCCCCGCCTGCACGGTGGGAAGACTAAAAATCCAAAGCGATGCTGCTTGCTGGCAGCTTACGGATCCACCTGCCGCCTCCCCAGGCTTCTCATGGCGTGTAACATCCTCCGAGTGCAGCGTGCGCTGGGAATGGGCACCACACGGTCCCCTCTCGTCCCCCGCCCAGACAGCCCTGAGCCCATCTGCCCACGCCTGTAGCTGGTGCTGAATGGGGGGAGGGTTTGAAGCGCTGCTCCGTGACCGATCCCTTGAGATCGCCCTGTTTGTGAGGGCTGAGCAAGGCAGGGGCAGCGCTCAGCAGTTCCGGCTAGAAGTTAAAGGGAATCTCGCAGGGATCGTCTTCCGCTCTGTCGCTGTCACCAAGCGACGGCCCCTCATGCGCTGGGTCCCTCGGGAGCGCTGGCTGGCAGCCCACGGTCTTCCGGGAGGGGGTTAAGTCACGGTTCTGACTCCTCTCGGGAGGTTTCCACAACCTGGCGCCGATGCCCTGGTTCGATTTGTGGGTTGAGGAGCCAGATTCCGCTTGGATCTTGTCCACCTCCAACGCTGACCCAGCGCGTGGTTCCCTCCCTGGCCATCGTTAGTTGCTTGGCCGAGCGCTGTAGCCCGTCCGTGCGGGAGAAAGCGCGTCTCAGACGGGGCCTCTGTGGGGGCCCCGAGTCCTTTGCAGCCACCACAACGGCCCTTTCTCCTCACGACCTCTCCGTCTGCTCTTCCCCGGCAGGACTGGAAGGACCACCAGCACATCTGCGGGCAGTCGGCCACGGTGACGGTGCAAGCCGACGAGGTGCACGTCGCGGAGAGCGTGATGGAGAAGGTCACCGTCTGAGCA